GGGGGGGGGGAGGAGACGGGATAGGGCTGGCTCTGCTCTGTTCTGCACTTCAGTTTTCCTCTACTCTTAATCGGTTCCAGTGGTTGGTTGGTGTGTGCTCTGGTGTCGTTTGCTTCTTCTTTCCTATCGAACATCTATTGTCTTTATCTCCCCTCCTTCTTTTTTAATGTTTGTTACTCTCTTGTAACACCTCTAATCTTCGGCTCTTATAGTTGCAAGTGCTCTAAGACCCTTACTAAAACATAATCGGTTCCTGGTGAAATTCTGTTGTTTTAATGCAACGCTTGGGGAAGTTGATAAACGTTAACATTTCATAAAGAATAATTTAATCTGTAGTGACTTCAGTATTAGCTTTTTTTAAAATGCCAGCATTGTGAGGTTGTGTGGGAAGGAGGGGTGGGGGAGCAGGGGGGGGGGAGGATTATATAAATTATCTTGTGAGTTCCAACCTTCATGCTAAATATACTTTGTTCGTTTTTTGTTTAATATTTACCATTGTATTCATTCATTCATCCATCTGTGTTTCTTTTCGTTATTTCCTTCATCCATTCATGCATTCATTCATGGGTCCATATGTTGATTTGGCAATTCTTTCTTCTGTCTATCCTTTCGTTATTAACTCCTGCTTTCATTCGTCCATCCACTGTTCATTTGTGGGTGGTTGGCGGGTGCTCTGGTGTGGTTTGCTTCTTCTTTCCTATCAAACATCTATCATCTTTATCTCCCTCCTTCTTTTTTGTGTTTGTTACTCTCTTGTAACACCTCTAATCTTCGGCACTTCTATGACCGTATTTTGTTGCAAGTGCCGTAAAACTCTTACTAAAACTAAAAACTTTTACCTAAACTAAAAACTTTTATTGAAACTAAAGACTCTTACTAAAACTAAACTAAAGACTCCTTTATTATAGGCCACTTTTCAAAATGGTTGATAGTGGGATTTTTACGCTGACCAGTGGATGTGTTCTTTTTCTGGTGTGTTATTTCACAGTGTCCGTTGTGTGTGTGTTTGTGCACTGGATGTGTTCTGTTTCTGGTGTGCAATTTCACCGTGTCCCTTGTGTGTGTGTCTGTGCAGTGGATGTGTTCTTTTTCTGGTGTGTAATTTCACCCTGTCCCTTGTGTGTGTGTCTGTGCCCCCAGGTGGAGCTGCCCGTCGTCTCGCTGGACAACGTCTCCCTAGAACAGCTGTGCCAGAACCACGCTCAGCAGCTCCGGCGCTCTCTCACCCTCAGCTGATTGGGGGAACATCGCACGCACGCCTGGACGCACGCACGCATGCATAGATTTGAACATGCGCTGTCTGCAGACGCAGTTGGATAGACAACACACACACACAGTCTTCAGACCTCCTGTGAGAACTCAGTGGGTTACCGGGGCAGTGCCACTGGCTGAAGTGTCTTTAGGCCATTCCCAAAGGGGGGACATTTATCGTTCAAGCATAGTAGAATTGTAAATGGGCTGACTCATGTCACGTTCATAACTGTGCCTGATCTACAACAGGGAACTGCTGCTTTTTCTTTCCTGATCCTTACTATTGTCATTTTCCTCTTCTTCTTTCGTATGTTTGTCACTCCCTTGTGACCTGCTATTTTGGGGTGCCTTGATAGTCGAAGCAGACCTTGTGCTGTTGAAGCTAGAGAGGTGAGCAGTTTAAGTCTGATTCCCTGTAAAGACTTCTCTGTTGACACCCACCCCTTGGCGCTCATATGACCTTATGCAGTTGCGAGCGCCGTAAAACCATCTACTGTAAAAAAAAGTTAGTGTACTCACTGTCCATTGAAACAACTGGGTTTACACATCGTCTTAAGACTTGAGAACACTGTGGGATTTACACGCTCTCCATAGAAACGAACTGGATTTACACTTCGTCGTAAGACTTGGGAGCACACATCTGGATGTATATATACACACTGTACATCACTGACACAATTGGATGTACACGCTAACGTCAGACCTGTGAGAACAAACACACGGGGAGTGCACGACACACTGTCCACTGACATAAATGGATTTACACACTGTCTTAATTAAGACACAAATGGATTTACACGCTGTTTTAATTAAGACGCAAATGGATTTACACACTGTCTTAATTAAAACACAAATGGATTTGCACTCTATTTTAAGACTTGAGGCCACACGCTTGGATATATATAGTCTTCAGAACGGCAAGCTCTCACTAGGATATATACACACCATCTTCAGAACTGTGGGAACACATTTGGATATATACACTGTCTTCAGACACGATTGGATTACACACTGTCTTTCAGACCTGAGGCCACACGCTTGGATATAAGCAGTCTTCGGATCTGTGGGAACACATTTGGATACATACACGGTCTTCCGACATGACTGGATTTACATACCGTCTTTCAGACCTGAGGCCACACGCTTGGATGTAAGCAGTCTTCGGATCTGCGGGCACACAGACTTCTGAGTAACCTTTGATACTGTACAGAGATCACAGTTGGTCGACATGTTCCAGGGAATTTGGTGTAACAGTGTCGCACATTCAGGCCTCTGAATACGTACACCGAAAACCACATATGTGTCACGACATGGTGGAATCAGGCGCTAGTCAATTTTGAGGCATATATGGAGTTATTGGATTGATCTTAAAGCCTGTCCATTTGCCTTGCTTTTGATGAAAAAAAATATCCTTTAATTTTGGATTCAAGTCAAGATATTGGCGATTGAAGGAGGTGAGGGTCGCGTGGTTTCAGAGGTAAAATAATCGAGAAAATGTCCACCAAATTTGAGTTATTTCCTTAGCTTGAGAGTCTGTGGAAACTGAAAATTTGTATCTTTTATGCCTTTAATCAATGTTTTTCTGTACAATCCACACAGAAATGTGTTATTTAAATGGCACTAAAAGTTGTTGAGCCAAAAACCCAAAAATTCGATTAAGAAATTCCCAGACCTTCACAATAATGCCAGTTTCTTGACTTTCATTATTTTGACGAGCGCCTGATTTCAGCACGCTGCCTCCCACATGGAGACAAAAGGATCCCAAACTTTCTGCAAGTCTACCACAGAAATCCACAATTTGAGGTCCCTCCGCCTCCACTGGCATGTCTACCGTAAGCTGACAAAACGCCTTTTTTTCGGTTTTGGCGCTATTTTGTACATATTTGCAAAATTGATAGCCTGATCAGTTACCCTACTTGTGTGGAAAAAAAATCAAAGTGAAACTGTGACCTGTTTAAAAAAAAAAATTAGAATTCAAATTTCGGAAGAATGCCTTTTTTAAAATGGTTAGACTGACAAAAAAACCCTCATAATCTCGAAACAGCTGTGAATA